GAGTTCATTGACCGTGATCACTGGACCTCATCAGACCTTCAGGTTCATTTTTGACTTTTGCAAACAGTGCTGCTGTGGAGCATTTCCTGCACATTTTTGCGTCTTTAGATGCTTCTGCTGAAGTTTCTAGAAATCGCATTACAAATGCAGAAGGAATTGCATATGTCCAGATGTGTGTTTCCGCTTGTCTTTATAACACCCACCAAACCCACCTGTTAAATGGATTCCGACTCATAGTGACCCTATGTAGGGTTTCCGAAGCTCTGAATCTTTTTGGGAGCAGAAAGCATTCTCTTCTTCCTCTGAAGCGGCTGGTGGGTTCGCACTGTTGACCTTGTGGCTAACAGTCCAACCTGTATAACTCACTATGCCATATACACATATTTAGAATTTAATGTTGTTGGTGTTATGTGCTGTCGAGTCAGTTCTGACCTATAGGTGACCTTCTACAGGGTTTCCAAGGAGCGCCTGGTAAGCTTGCACCACCAACCTTGCAGTTCAAACCTACTGTGCAATCTAGCGCATTAACCCACAGCGCCCCACCAGGACTCTAGATATAACCATATTGCCCTACCTCTGGTTTTACACCTATCCCCCAATTCTATTTACGAACGCAGACACTTGTATTATATGTTCCCAACACAAAATAAGTATCACATCATTTCATCTTTGTCAGTCTGGTGGATGATAAGTTGTCACAATTCAAATTTCTTTAATCACGGATGGTGTGTCTTTTGTTGTTTAGTATGTATTTTGTGAATTGACTATGATGATCTTTTTAATATAGGGGGTTCCCTTTTTCCTTGATTTGTATGAGCATTAATTTATTTTTTTCATCTGCCTTACAGATCTTATTTCCTAGTTTATAGTCAAATTAGAAATTTTTCTGTGTTTATTAAAGGGGACCTGGTGGCATATGGTTAAAGTGGTTTGGTGGCTGAATGAAAAGTCGTTGGTTTGAAACCCCCCAGCTGCTTGGGGCTACAGTGTGGCAGCCTGCTTTCACAAAGACTCTGGGTCAGTTCTCTTGTCTGCTGGGCTCGTTGTGACTCAGAATTGGCTCGCTGTTGGCAGTGAGTGAGTGAGTTTGCTGTTTCTTAAAGCCTTGGGAAATCCTCCCCCCCTTCACGATTATGAAATGGTCTGTGCGGTTTTTTTTCCTTTTAGTGGTTTTTTCTTCTTCATTTTTATACTTTGATATCCTCTAACTCATTTGGTATAACGAGTGAGTTGGAAATTGGAGTTTTGTTCTTTCTCCATCTGCCCTCTGGTTTGCGTTCTGTGCTGTGGGGCAGTGGTGAGTCTGAGCAAGGACTTAGCATTTCAGGGTCCGTGCCTATTGGTATCAGCATTTGTGTTCAGCTTGGTAGCTGTTGGGATTTGATTTCTCTTTTGTTTCATGAATAGTGGACAGTGAGGACCAGGTTTCTGAAGCTATGAGGCAGGGAAGAGCTGAAGGGCTCTAAGCTCTGCAAGTTGTTTCTGACCTTGTCTGAGCCATGTCCTTTGTGCACGTGTCTGCTTTCCCCAGGAGAAGTCTGACTTACTGGGCCTGGTAGGGTGCTGGGTAGTCTGGTGGGTCCCCATGGATCTCACAAGGCTCTGGGGGGTCAATGCCCCCAACAGAGTCGGGCTGGGAGGAGTGACTCCAACACCGTGACTCACTGCTGTCATTAGGTGTGTCTGTCTTGTTTTTGTCCCATGTTGATTTCTGATCCTCTGCCCGTGGAGCCGTGTGTTCCTTGAGGATGAGATGGAGTCCTCCACTTTCTGAACCCTGCCCATAATTGAGTGGGCACTGTTGGAGTTCTCTCATATGAGAAGGTCGTTTTCCCTTTAGCACTTCCTTCCCCAAAAGGAGTCTGGGTTGAAGTTATGCTCTGTCATTTTCTCCAGGAGGGCGGGCTCACTTTAATCTGGGGCATGCTCTCTTCTCGAATCGGAAACTGTCCTCGGCTTCTCTAGAGTTGCACCTCTTCCTCCCTGGTTTGGTGCCCTTCTCACAGCACAGCTGTGAGAAGGCTCTCGGTGTGTGACTTGGAAAGGCTGAAGGACTGTCCACTGTGTCCTCTTCCCTGGGAGGCAGCTGTGCTGGTGTGGAAGAAAACTCGGGCAGGAGGGCTCTCCTTGGGGGGTTCCCACTGTGAATGGGGCATCCTGCTTGCACCCTGTGAAATTGCGCCCTGTACACGGCACATAGTAGGTGTGTTAATGTCTCTCCCTTCCCCTGCAGGCCACTCACCTGCTCTTCCCTCCGCGGTTTTCCATAACAGTTTTTGCTGGGAACCAGCCTCTGCCAAGAGTCTCAGTGGGCTGTGTCCTCCTCCAGCTGCTAGTTTGGGCGTGGCTCCCCTCTGCAGCCCCCAGTGGCCCAGCCACGTGCTCGCCTGTTGTACCAGCTGGTTGATGTAAGTCTGCGGTCCTAAGAGGAACCTCGTTCCTTACCAGTAAGCTGCGTCTCTGAAAAGGTAGCATCCTTGATAACAGTGCTCTTCTTTCCTTATGACTGACGGCTGCCGTGCATGGAGCTGTCTTTTCTGTGGTCCTCAAGTTGGAACTCTGGTGGAGAACGGAGTTCATCCACACGGGCCGCCTGGGGAGCGCTGAGCCCAGGACTGGGGCCTTTTGGATCAGGTCAAATGGCCATGGAGACTGGCCAGGAGGTCAGCATCATTTCAAAGTCTGAGAGAGATGAGACTGAATTGCATAAACGCTCAAGGATGATACAGTTTCAAAGAAAACTTAAGTTACTGGCAAGTAACTGGGACTTTGGAGTTATTTTCCTATAAGTTGATAAATAAGAATTCCCAGATTTGTTTACCCACAGATGCTTGTGCATTTGAATGTTAGCTCATAAAAGAGAGCAGTGTGGTTGTTAGGGTGAATAGTTAAGGAATGGACTAGCCTCTAGCTCTCTATCACCAAGGGGGTCCAGCAGGGAGCCCTTGGAGTTTCTGAGTAGCTGCTCTCCAGTTGGTGCCCTGTGGGGAGACCAGAGGACATGTGCTCGGCTCACTCCAGAAACATTTTTTGAGCGCCTGCCCGTTTGACACACTGTGCTGGAGACAGAACCACATTTGGCCTCAGCAGCTTTTACCCGAAAGAACTTACTTCCTGACTCCCAATTGGGACACTAGGACAGAGTGGGGCAGCTGTGGGGGTGGGAAGTGGTACTCAGCCCACTCTGCTTGTGGACATTCAGGGAAAAGCAGCAGATGGACTCAGAGCCAGTGGACCTCCATCCTGCTGTCCAGCTGCCTCACTGGTCCTACTGGGAGTGTGGCTTTCCATGCGAAAGCAGGCAAATAAGTCTTTCAGCTTTAAATAAAGGCAACTAGCTCCTCTTAGAATTTAAGTCACAGAGCATTCGTACCCCCCGCCCCCCGAGTTTAATGACAAAAATCAAAGAATGATGTGTATTTGGAATCACTAGAGAGTATCTAATACTTTGTCGGCAATTGTAACACACACACACACACACACTCCTCCGCCTCTCCTCCGTTTGTCCAGTCAAGTGAGAAGGACTCTTAGTCACTGGAGGGGAATGAGGGGCGTCTGGTTCCCCGTGCCTCCTACACGGCACCCCTCTGTGCCCATAGCCCCGTTTCTGATAGATGAGCCTGTTTTACTTTCTGAGCCCCGCCTCTCGTATGTGAGGTGGTGGCCCCAGAACACCTGGTCCAAGACTGGGATGAAGAGGACCACGTAGCACAGTCCCCATAATACCGCAGGTGCTCAACAAATGTTGGCTGCTGGGAGGGTCCGCTGCGGCTCCTGCCCTGACTTACTGAGCTAGCCTCACACTGTCCCCTGTCCCTGCCCCGTGAACTTTCCTCCCACCAGGGCTGAAAAGCTCTTATTTTGGTGGTGTATCACCTGATGCCAGGACCTGGCCAGAGTGTAGCCCTGCTCTCATTCCACCAAACTGAGCCTGGCGTTTTTAAGACCTCTTAAAGAAAATGAAACATTTAACAATTACACGTGTGTATATATTTTTTGTTTCATTTTACTCCTTCAGTTCCACTTTCTCAGTTTTTGAACATTTTTGAGCAGGCTAGAAGGCCTGACACTGGGTAGTGGTGCTTGACAAGAAAGCTGATTCCTGGGCCCTGGTATTTACCTACCGTATTTCATAGAATCAGATGTGCAAATGTGTTAACATTTTAACACCAGAAACTGGGATGCATCTTGGAGTTGCTGTGATGAGAAGCATTGTGTTGCAGTTAACTGGCTAATTGGCAACCTTTTTCTTCCTTATGTATAAAGTAACAGTGTGTCCTATAATTTATGCCTTCTTAGATTAGATGAAATACGGTACTGAGGGTGGAGAGGCAGTGTGTGTGGCTGAGGGCTCCAGAGTCAGGCTTCCTGGGCTTAACTGTCCCCTTTTCCAGCTTGGGTCAGTGACTTAACTTTTGCCTTAGTTTTCTCACCTGTAAAATGGGGCTAAGACTAGTGCTGTATATGATAAAACCTCTATAATGTGCTTAAAATAGTACCTAGCGTATAGAAAGCTCTAACGATTAGCTATTTTTATTACTAATATAGAGATTACAGTTTTGCAGAATGTATTTGACTCTATTTTGATGTGATTGAAACTTAAATATATTACTCTTATATCTGTGTGTCATCTGATAATGTCAACACATGACAGCTTTAAAAGGGGGACTGAAGGTTTGATAAGTTTTCTTATTAAGATATAAATGGCATGTTTGCTGTGTATATTCCTATTTCTATGTGGTTGAGATATAAGAGTAATTCAGCAGTGACCTAGGAAATACAGAAAAGAATGGAGTAGTTACTAACATCTTTGTGACTTTATATTGGTAAGTATATGAATGGTTAGAAGGTATGAACGTTTTTGTAAAGTTTCAGAATTTTTTTCAGCCTAAGTAAAGAGAGAAGGAAAAGGAGAGGCTCTTGTTGGGCTGTGGCATTTCCTGCCTTAGCACAGCAGTGAAGCCGGCCTGTCCTGATGCATTCTGTCATTTCTGTCCCAGTGTTCGGTGAGCAGCGACCTGGCTTTCCCCACACAGGCCATCCCCTTGAAGACGCTGAACGCGGTGGCCTCGGTGCCCATCATGTACTCCTGGTCCCCCCTGCAGCAGAACTTCATGGTACGTACCTAGGCAAGCCCACTTCTGCAGACGCACCCTGACAGACCCCTGAACGGATGGGCGTCTATTGTGAGGGAGCCAAGTGGTGTCATTCTAAGGGGTCTTGGTGGTAGCCTCAAAAGGAGAGACTAGTAAGGTGGTGGTGTTGTTGCTAAGTGTTGTCGAGTTGGTTCCGGTTCAGAGTGGTGTCCCAGGCCTTCTGTAATGTGTTAGTAGAGGGGTTTTTAAAGCCCTCAGAGGCCTGGTCTTTTTGATAGTCTATCTTAGGTAAGGTAGTTGCTGAAGAAAAAAGGTGTAGCAAAAACCTACGTGGTGGCATTAAAATATATTGAAAAGATGAAGCTCAATATTCTCATCCTTGAACTACCAGTCAGGACCATGCCACCCCAGCGTGGCTGACTGTGCAGTCATGTCCATTTTGAACACACAGTTTCGGACCATTGTCGGCAACGCGCTACTATGTGGTCATGTTCCCAGTGAGATGTTTGCAGAGTTCACACAATAGCAGCTGAGGCACATGTTCACATACACACCCAGTGGCAGGTGTGAGATGCTGCCATCTCCATCTTCCTGTGAGATGTGGGATCATAGGACAGGACACAGGATACCTAGTCTGTGTCCCCAAGTTGCTTGTTTAGATAAACACATGTCAAACAGGAGGGCTAAGAAGAGGGTGAAGAGAGTCTGGGGAACCTACTGTTGATCATTGGTTACTGGATTTTTCCGTGTTCCCAGTGTGTCATGGAGTGGGAGGGGTACTGGAGGCATTCAGCAGTTTGCCGGCAGCCGCAGAGGTGTGAGCCTGCGAGGCCACGAGGCCTTACCATCCAGAGTGTGTTCCATGGACTCTGATATTCCCAGAAGCATTGCAGTGTTGTGTTAAATACAATTCAGAGGTTACTGGTCAAGCCATGTGAAGCAGACTGCCCTTATGTTAGGGCCTGGATCTGTTTTGAGGAAGAGAGCTAGTGGAGAAGATGACAGGAGTTTGCTGTCATTTCATTACAGTTTGGAAGCAAAGAGCTACCATTGCTAGTTATGACCAAGTCACATCAGGGAGAGCTGCACTCCCCGAAGCTTTCAGCGGCTGATTTGTTTGGAAACAGATTTCTAGTCCTTTGCTCCGAGCCCTGTCTGGATGGCCTTGATGTCCCCTAACTGGATCGGCCTCGCTCGTACATGCTCAGATCAGCCAGCACGTGGAAGTCTCTGGTCTCTTTCATTTGTGCTCCTCTTTTCTTCTTTCTCTCACCTTCCCTCCCCAGATGTCTGTGTGGACTTGAAACTGGCCCCATGTGCACTCCCCCCCCCCCCCTTTCTTCTGAGGTGCTGACATGGACGGTCATATCCACCACCCCACTTTAGGCAGGTCCAGTGGGCCGGGCCCAGCCTCTGCTCAGAATCGCCCTTCTGTGCTTCTCTTTTTAACCAAAATGCACTGAAATCTTGAACATGTGCTTTATCCCCATGGGGGCTTCCTCTTGCTGACGGCCAGCTCGGTCACACCCTCAGCTCTCCTTAGACAAACCTTCTCCAAGCTGCTCTTCATCCCTGTGGTCTTCTGAGCCTTGGCATAAACCCACCTGCCACTGAGCAGCCTTGTCCAGTTTTGATAGGCCTCCCACGCCCCTGAGCTCTGGCATAGCTTACGTTCTTGTAGAATTCTACTTAGAAGCTTAAATCCTTTTAGTGTAAAATTGAACACACCACGAATACTCGTGAGTTTGAACCGCCGACCTTGTGGCTCAAACCAACTTTGCAGTCCAGCACATTAACCCACAGTGCCACACCAGGACTCCAGCTAAGATAGTGTTCTTAAAATTTTTTCTTGTTGTTTTTTAGTTTCCTCAGATAATAGTTTTACTGGCAAAAAGGCTTCTTTTTTTTTTTTTTTATCACTTTGGAGTTTGCCATGTGACTGGAGAGCCCCAGGTAAAGACAAAACAGAGACGTTTTGTTTTCGTACATAGGTATCTCACCCAAGTTCTTCATTTTCAGGTGGAAGATGAAACAGTTTTACATAACATCCCTTACATGGGGGATGAAGTTCTAGACCAGGATGGGACTTTCATTGAAGAGCTAATAAAAAACTACGATGGGAAAGTACACGGGGACAGAGGTGAGCTACCTGTTTGTTACCTTGGAATGGGATCAGGGAACCCAGAGACTGGTTTATCGAGCACACAAGCGAGTTTTCAGTGTGAAAGTTCACCAGGCTCCAAACGGGTTTGTGAATCGGAGGATTGTGGTTGTCAGGTCAGTGACAGGCACGAGACAGATAATTGACAGGTCAGAGTTGTTAGGAATCACAAGGACTGTCTTGGTGAAGTGACTGGAGCCAGCCTGCCTGGGACATGCAGGTGGATTGGGCCGGGTCCCTCTAGACTTGTCATTAGAACTGGGGTATCACTCCCTCTCCAGAGGCCACTTATAACCAGGATGGAGGGTCACTATCCATGACCACTTTAGTGGACAGCTAGGTCCAGAAGTCGTGGCTCCAAAGCCCTGGGCACCTTGGGGTGGGAGAGAGAACCCTGTTTCCTAGTGTGTTTCCAGGGCCAGTCCTGAGCAGACTCTTGATGCCTCGCTCTCGGGTCACCAGTGGCGCTCTCCCTGGTGCTGACGGATGGCTCATTGGGTCTCTCGTCCACATCAGAGAAGGCTTCCGTTACCCACCCTCCCCCCCTACGGTTCTGAGCATCTTCCTGGTACATTTCAGAGTGTGGCTTTATCAATGATGAGATTTTCGTGGAGCTGGTGAATGCGCTTGGCCAGTACAGTGATGATGATGACGATGATGAAGGAGACGACCCTGAGGAGCGAGAAGAAAAGCACAAGGGCCTGGAGGAGGCCCCGGATGGTGCGTGATCTCAACTGCGCGACCCCGGGCAGTACTGAGGGCAGCTGGGGAGGACATAGCAGTGTCCTCTTGATTACACTGCAAGGTGGCCATCCGCTGACTTGTGACACCGAGGACACGCCGAGCACCAGCAGGCCTCGCTCGCTGCACACAGTACCTCCTGTGTCACTAGAGCCACTGGTTCTGGATGGCTGAGTGCTGTGTGCAGGAAGACGTTTTCAAAGGGCAGAGCCTGCTAACAATGGCCACGTAGTGGGATGAGGGAAAACGGCAGAGTCAACAAAGTGTAGCACAAAGGGTCTTTAGTGACCCCCCTAGTTGGGAAGGGCCCAGCAAAAAGCTGGGACCACAACTGGGTTTTCTGCCTCTGGGGCTGTCGTGTTTATCTGAGCTACCAGAAGTCCTTATAAAATCACTGAGACAGTTAGTAGGTGATTTCACCATTGACGTTTCTCCACATTGTGTGGAGAAAATGGAAGAACTAGTGACTTTAACATCTCTCATGTTTCCACGTTTAGATAAAGAAAGTCGCCCACCTCGGAAATTTCCCTCTGATAAAATTTTTGAAGCCATTTCCTCGATGTTCCCAGACAAGGGCACAGCAGAAGAGCTAAAGGAAAAGTAAGATGTGCCTTTTTCAGGCAGTGTGGTGTGGGATTCACCATGTCTGTAAGTGTGTGAGGAGTGGAGGTAGTGATTGTGTGTGTATGTGTGAGGGAGAGATGAGGAGACACGGCGCCATCTGTGCCAGTATGACAGAGGAATGGGTGAGGTGTTTGCAGGCAGAGTGTGTCGTGACCCTGCTCCCACTGATGGACAAACCCAGACTCATGCTGTCCATCCTCGCAAGGGTCCAGTCAGTTCCAAATCATAGTGACCCTGTTATAGGGCTTCCAAGGAGCGACTGGTGGGTTTGAACCTCCAACCTTGCATTTACCCTCCACACCACACTCAGAAGTGTTACCTACTTAGAAACCGTTACCTGTGTCTCCAGGTACAAGGAGCTCACGGAGCAGCAGCTTCCCGGGGCACTACCCCCCGAGTGCACCCCCAACATTGATGGGCCAAACGCCAAATCTGTGCAGCGGGAGCAAAGCCTGCACTCATTCCACACGCTCTTCTGCCGACGCTGCTTCAAATACGACTGCTTCCTGCACCGTAAGTGTGGCCCCGGGGGCCTCTCAAGGCTGTTTTTGGGGCTGAGGTGTCGCCACTCTTGCCTTGGGGTGCTACCACACTTCCCTGGCTGCTCTGTTGTTCAAGGGCCGCTCTCTGTCCTCCACTCACTGACGTCCACTCTGGGAACTGCCTGGCAGCTCCTGGGTGCTCATCCAGTGGCTGCCCATCGGCTCTCAGTAGTACTGTGGATGTGATAAACGAGTTACTGAGTAAGACATAGACTAAGAACATGCTGATAGGACGTGTGTTATTTCATGTTAAATTTGACATTGGTGAAAGTGTTTGGAATCCTCTGTGTGGACTGTGTATTGTTGACTGTAGGCATGTTAACACTTTATGATTGGTATTTAGAGAAACTTACCCAACGGCATTCCTTGTGGATGGAAAGCTCTGAGCATGTGTGCCTGAGTCCCTGGCGCGTGCACTTAGGAGGGACAGACACCACTGTGGTCTTTGTTTTCCGTGTTGCTGTCAAACCAGGATCACGTGGGTGGCACTTTTCAGGGAAGGCTCTGTGGCCCCTGGCTCCTTGGCCTTCTCTGTGTGGTAATGAGGTTTCCCTCATCTGTGGCTGCCCTGCCTACTTGGTGTGTCAGAAATTGAGTAGATTTTACACACACCCTACCAAGAAAACCTTACTCCCAAATGACTACTTTCACAGGTAAGGGTTAGGGTTCCACCACGTTTTGGGGGACATAATTCGGTACCTAACCCTCCTCCAAACCCCAGCTTTCCTCATCTGCATGTGGTGGTGCTAGTTTTGTGGGAGCCTGGCCGGTTTGTTCCCTCTCCTTTCCCACTCAACTCGGTGGTCAGTGCTGATATACTTTCCTTGGGGAGATGCTGAGGTGTGCACAGGAGAATTGGTGTGGCTGTACAGTCTTGCCTCTGCATTTGATGTCTGGGGGATTGGTTCCAGGAACTCCACAGACAGCAAAACCTGAGGATTCTCAAGTTCCTTTTATAAAAATGGGTTAGTATTTACATACAATCTACGAACGTCCTTTGTATACTTTAAATCATCTCTAGATTGCTTACAATACCTAATACAATGTAAAGATCAAACTTAGGATCTTTGAGTTGATTCTGACTCATCGTGTCCCTGTATAAGGGTTTCCAAGGCTGTAAATCTTTCTCCCTCAGAGTGGCTGGTGGGTTTGAACTGCCAGCCTTGCAGTTAGCAGTCCGGTGCTTGTCCTGCATCCCCACCAGGGCTCCTCACTGGTGGTGTGCCATCGAGTGGGTTCCAACTCATAGCGACTTTATATAGGGTTTCCAAGGAGCGGCTGGTGAGTTTGAACCGCCAACCTTGCCATTCATTGCTTTATTCTACAGTGCCACCAGGACTCCAGGGCATCTTAGGGCTCCTTGTAGAGTTGGTTCTGACTCAGGGACCCTGTATAGATTTTCCAAGGAGCAGATGGTAGGTTTGAACTGCCAACCTGAGGTTAACAGTCCAGTGCTGGTCCTATAGTACCACACAAGGAGTCCTTAATACAATGTAAATGCTGTGTAAATGGCACTTTAATGCCGGACCACTTAGCCTGTAAGGGATTGCGTAAACCACTTAATTGCTTTTTTCCTTCCAATACCTACTGATAGGGGACTGGCTGTAAAATACATTCAGTAAGATTTGTTTTTAAGACTAACTTCTAATCAGATCTGACAAGATCAGTGGTTTAAACTGTCATGGTGAAAACCTACTATTAGAAAAGGTTTTGCTGAAGGAATACTTTCATGTCCTCCCTTGTAGGAGAAACAGGCAGTTTTTATTTGGTAAAGTAAACACTTTTAAGCGAGAGGGGCAGGGGAAGACAGGATGGGGATTTACAAGGAGTTGGCAGTCACACATTTCATGAACAGTTCTTATACCCATGACTACCCAGCTCTGGTAGCGTAGTGGTTACGAATTGGGCTGTGAACTTCCAGGTGTCGGCAGTTCGAAACTATTAGCCATTCCGCCAGAGATACAGCCTTGGAAACCCTGTACAGGGTCACTATGAGTCGGAACAGACTCCATGGTACTCAACATCAACCACCACCAAGTCGATGGCCCCTCATAATGACCAGGTAGGTTAGAGTAGAGCTTCTTTGTTCGAGGCGGTCAGTCAGTCAGACAGACAGACAGGCTCATCTTTTCCCTTGGACTTCAATCTAACAGTGACCCGCCACGTCATATAGTAGTTTCTTGTTTTCCTGGTACAGTGAACTAAAGCAGTATTGGTAAAGCACACTGTGCAGGCCTTTTCATTTGGGGTCTTGTAATCAAAGGCATTGAAAATCAGAACATTAGAATGTACCAAGTATGAATCTGGGAAAATTGGAAGTTGTCAAAAATGAGATGGAACACATAAACATTGATAACTTAGGCATTAGTGAGCTGAAATGGACTGGTATTGCTATTTTGAATCTGATGACCACATGGTTTACTATGCCAGGAATGACAAATTGAAGAAGAATGGTGTTGCATTCATCATCAAAAAGAATATATCCAGATTAGTCATGAGGTACAACGCTGTCTGTGATAGGATAATATCCATGTGCCTACAGGGAAGACCTGTTAATACCACTATTATTCAAATTTACACACCAACCACTAAAGCCAATGAGGATGAAATAGAAGAATTCTACCAACTTCTTTAATCTGAAATTGATCAAACATGCAATCAAGATGCATTCATCATTACTGGTGATTGGAATGCATAGGTTTGGAGCAAAGAGGAAGGGTCAGTAGTTGGAAAATCTGGCCTTGGTGATAGAAATGATGCTGGAGAACGCATGATAGATTTCTGCAAAAGCAATGATTTGTTCATTTCAAATACCTTCTTCAGACAGAGTAAGACACGACTGTACACATGGAACTCACCAGATGAAATACATAGGTATCAAATTGACTACATCTGTGGAAAGAGACCATGGAAAAGCTCAATATCATCAGTGA